AGGTTGAGTTAGAGTCTTGGAAGCGGAGCAGTTTGCCAAAGGTCAGGGGCTGACCTGGTTGGTCATCTGGTGCCCAGGTTGAGTTTCCCCATATGGCCTCACCACCTTTTGGTAGCATACTGGAGATACCGGGCATCGCACGGAAGATCTCCGCGCGTTCCTCTTTCGATAAGAATTTCTCCAGTCCATACACAGCAAAGGCGTTCAGTTGCGCAGTATCCCGCATTTCTCCGGATAGAACGGCGGTCAATCCCTTGACGGCGCCTAGCATGCAGCCGCTGATGTTGACCCACGAGTCGATATGTTTGTTAACCCAGTCTTTGCCGCCCTTTCCGTGTTCCTCGCTCTCTACCCACTTGAAGAAATATAATACCACCTGAGATCCCATGCTGTGCGATGCTAGTGTGATCTTCTCGCCCTGTACCTGCACCGCGGTCTCGATGTAGGACTTGAGTCGAGTGAAATACCTATCACGGACTTCAAGGTTGAGATATGAGAGTCGCCAGTCGTACGCAGCTGTAAACGCATTGGTCGGATCATAGCCAATTGTCGCCAGATTCTCCAAGATTTTATTCCATATCCAATATCCCGTAATAAAGAAATCCGTGGCATCGAATCCCTGCGCCGCACGGAGCTTAATGCCAGGCGGGTCAAGGCCTGTATCCCGATCGAGCATGACATGGTTCTTCCATTCAGCTTTGTCCATGACTAACGCCCTCATCATGCTCCAGCTGCCCCATAATCGTCGGCGGAAGTATTGTCGCGAAGTTTCCCCCGTGCCCCAGCTCTCTAAGCCAGTTGAGATAACTCCGGGGATCATCACGACGGGGTGTTTGGCTTCTACTCCCAGAGCTTGAAGTTGTAATCCAACAGCAAACGAATCATAACTGACGGTATCGCGTTCGTGTTGCTATGTATCCCATTGAGAGTCAGTCACATGGTAAACAGCTGTAGAGATAAGAGCACTCCCTTGGAAAGCACGTACCGAGAATTCTTTCACGTCACTGACAATTCCCTGTGGGATAGCCTCAATCCATGAATCGAGATTCAGGTCCATGAGCGAATCCAAGCTTATGACCTCATGCTGGTTCGCGAAGAACAATGCGAAGAAGATGCCGAAGATCCCGCCTAGCATGAAGATGAACCCATTGCGGCGTTTACTCCGTGGCTTGATAACTATCTGTTTCACTTTTGCATCATCAAACTCCGCACGAAGCTGTTCTTCCTGAGCTCTTGTATCTCCGCTGATTTTGTCAGAGGGCGGGACCTTGTCCTTGCCCATGCGGCGGCGGAACATAGCGATCACCCGCGAGGAAGGGAGAAGAGAGGGGGGGGGGGGCGTAATCGATTGGAATAATTATTGGCGAAGGCAATAAAATTGAAGAAAAAGAAAGAAACAAGAGGAGGAAAGGGACACCAAAAAAACACGGAAGTGCATAAAGTCCGTGAACGGACGGATCGGCATCACATGGCAGAGAGTTAACTTTCTTCGACGACCCCCCACCCTCCGTCAACTCCAACCATATCAGCCCACTTCAATGACATCGCTGTAATGAGCAATGCTCCCGATCTTCGCTATGTGCGATACGAAAAGTCGCGCGAAAATGAGTATGTCGCCGCAATGCGCCAGCTGATCTCCAAAGATCTGTCCGAACCCTACAGCATCTACGTCTACCGCTACTTTCTATACCAATGGGGCGACCTGTGTTTCCTCGCGATGGACGATAAGGACGAGATGGTTGGGGTCGTGGTATCCAAGCTAGAGCCACACCGCGACGGTCCGCTGAGAGGGTATATCGCCATGCTGGCCGTGCGCGAAGAGTACCGAGGCCGGGGAATTGCAACCAAGCTAGTGCGTATGGCTATCGATGCTATGATCGAGCGGGATGCAGATGAGGTACGTCCACACAGCGGAGATGGCTTTTGGTTCCCAGATGGATTGGTATTGAGGGTATGGAGAGCTGACTTGTACGTGTTTGGGCAGATCGTCCTCGAAACCGAAATCACCAACACCGGCGCGATGAAACTGTACGAGCGGCTGGGCTTCCTCCGTAGCAAACAGCTCCACCGATATTACTTGAATGGCAACTCGGCCTACCGGCTTGTGCTCTATCTCAAAGAAGGCGTGGGCGCGATTCGGACGGGAGTTGTTGATCCCTATGGTCTTCCACCATCAGTACCCGGTTTACCTGACGCATGTGGAGGACATTCTCATGCGAATATGGGGTCATTGGTTTGATTTTTGGTTGTATGCAGCGCTATGAAGTTTCCTCGTTGCTCTGTCAAGCTGTGCTGGCATGACATGTCATGATAATTATGGGAAATGACCAGAATAGATATACCTCACAGGAGCTGGCGTCCTTGTGGAACTTATATTGTATAGAAATATAAATTGCCCGAGAAGTGTGCCAAATAGCTGATCTGCCCTGGTTGAGGATATATCATCTAAGACGGATGCGATACCTACTTCTACATCGTATCTCTATGATGTGTAACGTGCAGACGTACGGTCCCATGCGTAGGGCAGAAGCTTCCAAATTTGACGTAGCCAATCTACTAAAATATAGGGTACTGGTGTCCGAATAACAAGAGTGGTCGGTCGTGTATGCGACTTCTCTCCTGAACGACGTAGGACTTGAAAAATCTGATGGATCGGACTCAAGATGATATAAGGCACATTATATGTAAGATAACGCCCCGGTGTCTTTTTTTTTTGAATGTTGTTTGTTGGAGTCTTTCCAGCTGTGTTCCTAGGAGTCTTCCTAAAAGTCTCTTTCGATGTCTCTTCTTTACACATTTTCCCTTCTCGTTATATAGCTAAAGGGATAATGAAGAACAGTACGGAGTACATACGGCCTATCTTCGACAATATAAGCAGTAAAATCATACGTAAAGATGCCTTTTATGCCGGGGATAGAGTAAAAGTAAGAACAATAAACCTTGAAATCCAGGCGTTGGCGTATATTGGGGGTTCAAGTCAGGGTATAGTTCCCGAGGTTGCTATGTAGGAAACTTCGCCTCTATCTCCCCTTTGTTACTTGCTCCTTCATTTCTCCTGCAAAGAGAAACTCTTCAAAACATCACTCCATGCCTCTCTCAACGTCATGTCTGGCCCCAGCGACTTTGACCACCTTTCCAGCACCTCCTTCTACACTTCGCCTCCCTAGAGGTGAATGCTGGAAACGATGACATATAAAAGTGCATAATATAGTTAGTCATCTATGTCCGCAGAAATTGTTGAAAACGCGGGTTTTATCATTTTAGGAGTTTTCAATATCTGCCATTTATACCATAGCTTGTTCGTACGCCACATTTCTGTAACCGATAACTGTGGGGGCTGATTGGATCAGGGGGACCAACTGCTGAATATATTGACCTGAAGTAGGACCGACCTATGGGATTTCATGGTGGCATAGGCGATCTGGATCTGAAGGATCTACGGCCAACTAGCGAGAGATTGGGCAGCAAACAGACTGTGTATGAGGGCTTTTAAGGACCATCACGGCAGCCGGCCCAATTGGGGTACGGCCTCCACCATAGCCCTCTGCCTTCCTATTCGACTCGTACCTACATAGGTAACGTGTAGCATATAAGAATAGTTGGCCGCTGATATGGCCGTTTTATGTTTGTTTGCGTAGTCTTTGATATTCCCTTACATGTATATATTTTGAATCGATTTTCTTCCCTTCATCGGTGCTATCTAGCATTCCCCTAGCAGATCGATCATTCTCAAGTAAAGCAGCGACATTCAAGCAAAGTATTGCCCTCATGACTCCTTATCAGTGGAATCCTGTCCGAACATCCGATGCCACCGGGACTTTGGTTTTGAAGGCGTTTAGCGCTTTGGTGGAAAAAAAGACCAATTTGCCTGCTTGATAAAGTACCCCAGGTCCCAGAGTTCAACTCTAGCTTTGAAATCCCTCCTAATCTCTTCTTTATCTTCCTCTGGTAATTCGAAGCCACGAAAGCCAATACAACACTGACACTCTATAGTGCAACGCCCTCTGCCTTTCTTCCTTTGAGATATAGACCTTTGTGCGCAGCATCCACATCTCCGGCTGCAACAGCCGCCTCGATCCGAACAATCATGAACTAGTTCTTCTCGCATAAACCATTTAGGATTATGCCTTAAGTTATCATAATGTTCTTTAAGTTGCAATGGAAGCGTAGAGGTCGCTCGGTAAAGGGCATACTCCTTTCTTGAATATTCCAGTTGGGTCTCTCTAAGTTGTTGAACTGTCTTTTCAAGCTCCGCCCTGGTAGACTCGACAGCTACGGTCTTTTGTAAGGCCATAGCTCTATGGTGTAGCATTTCCTCACGCTGAGATAGTTCGCGCAGAGCGTGCTCGGCAAGAAGTACATTGGCGACCATTGGCCTGAAGATACTTCCTGGCCTGCATTTGAGAATGGAAAAGAACAACTTCATGATCGCGGGTGGAAAGTTAAGCACGAGAAAAAGATGAGAAAGCCTTGGAGGAAACTTGTGTGAGTATCAGAGGAGAGAAAGCCATTTGTAGGTATCCCTGAGTCATAATGTGTTCACCCTCCTAAAATGGACTAATTGCGTAGGTTTTCTGAAGGTTCTAAGGTTGATCTTGCTGACTTGATGCAGTCTATTTATTTCGTTGTTCTTGATACCTAGGGCTCAAGGGTTTATCAATAACTATGGACAAGCAACAAAACAAAATGAAGAGGTAGTTGTTGATATATCGAGTATCCAGCGACTCTACACAGTTTAGGTGGTAGTTAAAATGAATGAAGAAAATGCTCTCTGCTAGGCTGATGTATTTGAACTAGCAAGGGGCCATAACCTGTTGGGATCTACAGTGTAGAGACTAAAGGAACAGAGAGAGTTGTATTATGAATATGTGAAAGGCTACAGTCGAATTGATTTAATTGAACGGTGCCTGCATGCTGTTTAACTAAAGCTTAAGGAAAAGCGAATCCACCATCCCGCGGTTCCGGGTTAGGTGGTAGACAACACGATCTCATCACAAATTCTATTTTCCGGCTTGGAGGGCACTGACAACTTCGGCCAATGTGCTGGCCTTCTTGGACTTGCGCGGCAGACGGTGTCCACGTGGGACTTGAACCCACCGGATCACAATGCCATCGTAGTTGACGTCTTCTAGCTTGGCTTCCGCTTCCGAATGAAGGTCAGGCTGACTATCTATCTGGTGCGCTGTACCCTTGATCCCTTGATATTCCGAAATGTATCAACCTGTGGTTTTCTTGAAGACGTGTACACGAACGCTCCTATGTTCAAACCGGCGTTCTCATACTGTTCCAGAACCTCGCACCCATTTTGTCGCGCAGAACAGCCAAGAGATCCAGATCCTGGAACTTGGAACTTGACTCAGTGGCACAGTCAAGGGCAATGTTAGTGCTCTTGTTCTATTGGTGATTCTCATATATATGCTTACTGGCATCACATTGTCGCTAGTGGCTACGCCCCGCCCAAACTTCAGCCAGCAATTTCTGCGCTTCGCTGTCTCGGACACTGAGAAAGACCCGGGATCTGAAATGTTGCGAGCTTATGATACAGTGCTATCCACAAACTGCATCCACGTCACCCGCGATCTAGTCCGACCCACGACGCAAGTTCGGAGGATGTTGGAACCGGATGTAGTTCTTTGCCTGGTAGAGCTCACACGGGGGCTCTTCTAGTTTGGTTCTTGTCTTGAGCCCAACAAGGGGTTTGTGCCTAATGATTGCAGGGACCATGCTCTGGTCGGTGAGTTATGTTAGCAGGGCTCTCTACATGACCCCGGCTTTACCTGGTTGGGTTGGAGCGACAGGCCGTCTACGGAAGTAGATCATCCACGCGCCGTCGCTATCAAAAGACCATGAAAAAGAAGACAGTGGTCTTCAAGCGAATTGATGGTCTGGGTATGGAGGCGGATCTGCACTATCCAGGGTGAGTTTTGGCTATGTTCAAGGATGCAGGCTAACCTAGTCCACTTTTACTAGGTTTATGATTCACTACAGCGGCTACATCTCCTCTCTCGGAATGATCTCCGACCAGAGCAGAAACACACATTCCAGCACAGAGAGTTCATGCCAATCGCCATGGACTATCGACTGGGACCAGAGGGCACACTGGCCCGGGGCCTGATGGAAGACATTTTAGGCCTGGATGCGAAAAGTACTGCCTACCGCCCGCTTACAACATGCCGATAACAGAACCGATGGTTGCCATCGCTGTATCACTGTGGTGGAATGGTACACCACGAAATATTGAGCCTCTATATGCCAGCCTTGCCTTTTACTGCCCTTCTGACCACGAACACAGGTTTTAGCTACACCCCAACAAGTCGGCTAGATCGAAAAGCACCAGGCCACCGTACGAACGGATCAAACTACCTTGCTTGCCATGATACACAGACCGGTCGCGAACTGCAGTGTCTCCCAACTAAATGAGCCATTGAGGGCTAGTTGCCCGCGACTGAGGAGACTGAGCACTATACAACATACATAAACTGGAACAGCAGTTCGCTCCGCACCCTCCTAAATGGTCTGGGACCGACACGGCGCGAGGAACCAGAGGCCTCAATGAGGAAGCGATTATGGCGGTTAGTCCATTGTCGCAAATCTGTGGCGGTGCGCACTCAACACCAACATTTACCATTGACCCTCAAGATGGCAAGCTGATCCCGTGGCAGCAAGCGCAGCGTACGTACGAATCCCCCAGGCTGCGGGGTCAAAATGGATCCCTTCACCTGATGTTCTCCGCTGTCTCTAGTGAATTTAACGTGGCCAATTATCTTGTATGATATTCTGCACTATGGCTTCGCCCGATTATGCCACCCCTAGGGTAAGTTCCATTGGCAGTATATGAAATCATAATAAATTGGACAGAAGCTATTAGGACAATTCGGGGAAGGGGAACTGGAGGTGAGAGCTCGTGGACTATGTAGATACATGCACACCGCTTTTAAATATATATTAGCCATGGCTATCTTATTGAAGATTATAACAAGAAACCGACCGCGTATGCGGCCTTGTCATGTCTGTTTTTGTCTCTTTACGTGTCTCGCATATATTACTGATGTATTTTATCTTATATATTTCCCCTTTTATTGATGCTGTAGCTATATGATAAGAATGGAAGCGGAAATGAGTGAACGTGAGATTTTTATATGACATGTGATATAGCATGTGATAATGACTGTATAAAAATAAGCTAAAACCAAAGCACTCACTATCCCATTTGGATCACCGAATCTACATGTAACAACAACTTTCGACCTGTCGGATATCCCGGCTATGGGGTCATGCTAAAAGCTTGGATCTGCCTGTAAATTGTGGAACCTGTGTCTGTTATACATAGCTACGTGCCGAGGTCCCCCTGTCTATATTTTAACATTCTATAATCCAAAATATTCTCATCCCCAATGGATCCAGCACTCAGACACATCCAAGGCCCGTCTGGGATAACAAAAGCAAATAAACAAGGTCGTCGACCCGGAAAAACAGCATGTACAGCCTGCCACGCCCGCAAAAAGCGATGCGACATCGTCCCGCCATATCACCAGTGCACGCACTGTCGCAAAGAAGATCAATTATGCATCCCGCGAGATTTAATTGAGAGGTGTGTAAAGCCACCAAGATACAGATACTAGCAAGACTTACAAAACCGTTGGAAGAACCCCTCAGCAACAAATGGCCAAACGCAACCACAACAATCAAAAAGCTAGCAAGAACGGAAACCAATTCCACGTCAATGGCTTTCTGCCAAAGGGAATCGATCACGAAGTACCCCGCTGGAGTGCAGTGTACTCGTCATATTCGGAGATGCGCCGGCTACTGCCTTCTCTCACTTCCACTTCCCCTCTTACTTCCACTTCCCCGTCCCCTTCGCCCGAGATTGACGGGGACATGCCACACATGCAATCTGCACCAATTGAGAGGCAGCAGAATGACGATGTGTCTTTGTCAGGGATGGAATCTTCGAGGTACATTCAGTCTGAAACTTTATATAGGGATTGTGGGGAGGCGGCTTCGATAAAGGGGATCAGCATACCTGTTTCTCGGTCTCGATCTTGGTCTTTGTCTACGGCACCTCCAGATGAAAGGGCTGGGCTGGAGAATGCATTAACTTGTGGTGCTGGGATCCTGCGTGGGGGCCTTGCTTCAGTGGATGAAGTGAGAGCTCCAAGTGGTGGGGATTCTCATTCTGCCCATGATGTTTTTATGAATGATCTCGATGCATTGCTTAGATTTTGATGGTGCTTATATTGAAGAGGAATTGTATTGGTTCACGGTTAGATAGATATATAGATGTTATACTAGACATTGCAGTTCTATGGTTCTATATTTTCAAATAATGTACAAGTATAAGATACAAGGTGACAGGAAAGTAGGAAGACTGAGTACATCAAACAAACACCAGCCAAAACAAGCCCGCCAGATGGGATATTCATGCAACACGCTAGCGTCAAAAAAGGTAGAAGGATCGAAGAATGCACAATGATGTAAAAGGGAGGATTGGGAGATTATTGGTCTTTCTCTTTCTCTTGATCTTTGTCCTTAAGGACGATGGGAACTTGAATGGCGTTTTGCATCTTCCAAGTCAGAGGTCGCGGTACACCACGCCATTCCTTGTCCAAGATGGACGCTGCATCTAGCATAATCGGAGAAGGGTGCTGGGGGGCATAGCGGGTTGCACCAAGGATGAGGTCACGCTTAATGAGGGCATTAGCAAGGCGGATTTGGAGATCACGCTTCTCACCCCTGGGCTTCCATCCGATGAGGTAGAGAACAGGATTGTGACGGAACTCGGAGGGAATATCGTTCAAAATGGAGTCTGGAAGCCTGTAGCTTTCATGGTGCACGTCGATACCGATAATGACCTTGCCGGCATCGGAACTCCACAAATCTTTGTCAAGTTTTGTGGATTTGCCAAAGGACGCGTTGCGACATAAGGAAGCTAAAACAGCCTGCTTCATCTTGTAGGTCACAGCTCCCTTCATGCAAGAGTACCGCCATATAACCAGGCAGAGGTTGTACTGGCGGCGCCTGAATGCAGCCAAAAACAAATCCTCCCAATTTTGTGCGGTTACCTCGAACAACGGGTGCTCGAAAAACCGGAGGGTATAATGCAAAGCAGCGTGGATGTTCGATCCCAAGGCTTGCACGATATGGCTGAGCGGATAACTGTCAACGGTGAGGTTGTTCTCGATGCAGATTTCCATGAGCCGGTCAATGGAATCGAAATCCTTCAATCGAGCCACCACACTGAACATTTGGCCAATCACGGAAGGGCTGAACCAATTGGCCCCCCATGTGTTGGTCATGAGACCAATAAATGAGTCTATATCTTTCCCACTGTCCAAATGCACCAAAAGCGAATCTTGGATTGTCTCCTGGAGCGCGCTGTGGATGGTGGAAAGGTTGGACATGTGACCACGCTGGACCATATGTTCGATGAGTTGGGCTTTTTCGCTGGGGACAACCAGGGCGCTGAGCAATGCGAGCCATGTTTCTGGGTTTGGACGCATGTCTAATTTAGGCATTGTCCGCAAGAAGTGACGGAAAACACCCACATCCTGACGCCGCGCAGCAGCCCGCAACAGGATGTTATATGTATCAGTGGTAGCTACATGCTCTGTACATGAACACAAAGTTCGGGCAGTCTCAAGGAACTCATGTCGACAGAGGAATTCTAGCGCATTATTTAAAGCCGCAGTCGAGATGTAATTGGAGTATGCTTCTTCCATGAATAGCGCCTCCAGATGTAGTTTAATCCGGACCACGTGCGGCAGCTTTGATAGAGACATGGCCTTCTCATCAAGCGTCGGTTGTCTCGCAGATGTGACATCCTCGATGTGCTCGTTGAACTCCTTCACGGTGGCGATAACCGGACGAGGCAGCAGGATCTCGTCCAAATTCGAGCTGCTATCCGACGTTTCACCGAAATGCCAATTTCCACGAATCAACGGCACGGGCAGCTTTGAGCGCTGCATCGCGCCCCGGGAGATGCACATTGGAACCGGTGGTTTGTGGATATCAACAAGGGGATCTCCCATAGCTTGTAGGCTCTGCGCGCGGGTAAAATGCCCTTCCACCAGCGCCATAATATGGTCTGTAGCACTCAAAACGACTCGACGGAGCAATCCTTTGCTTTGACTTGCAGGCAGGATGTGCACACGACATCCATTATGGATCGGGATGTACCAAATATTATCTTTCAATGTATGACGAGTCACACCAGAAAACAGGGCGAGGGTCTCCTCTGGCACAAGTATCTCTTTCTTGTTCGAACTCTTTTTGGGATTTTTCCGGATATCGCGGTACACTTGGTCCAGAATGTCCTTAGTATCAAACCAAGCATTGTCGTAGAGTTTTGCTGAACGAGCTTGATATTTTTTCTTCATATATTCGCGGAACCGTAACTTCTTTCGATCTCGAATCGATGTATTTCGTAAAAAAAGTTGTTTCTGTGTAGGGGACGAAGGCTTGCCATTCAGGGGTTTGTTGTGCAGTCGACCCTTCTGTATTCTCTTCGCTCTCGTCAATGCAAAGCCACGTAGTGGTATCCGAGGAGTGACGTGTTCGACATCTGCGAGCGAATTGACAGATGGTTTCTGGCCTGCGGAGAGCCGATCTCCACCACTTTCATTCAGACTATCGGAGCCAATTTCCTCCCGCTCGCTTACTTTAAGATGCGCTCCAACCACCGCGGGGGAATATTGTGGATTCGAATCGTCGGGAGACCGGGAGGAGGACCCGGAGGAAATCCATTGGCGCGAGTGTCGAGAAAGCGAAGGGTAGGAGCAGACTGTTGCGCGAAATGGGGAGCCGGAAGTATGACCTATCCTCGCTGGAGCATCAATCGGCCTCAAGGAAGATATCCGTCGACGTTGCAACGCAGGCGCAGCCCAGCGGGGATAGAGGAACAGAAGAGGCTCATCGGGGCCAGTCGCGACAGTGTCCAAGACGGCAGACACACGCCTCCTTAGACACGGGCAGCCACGCAAGAGCATAAGGGACGATGCTCTAATGGCACCGGAGACATGAATGAAAAGACAAGAATTGGGCGCGTTGCTGAGGTGTTTTTCGATGGACCTTTTTGCCCCGAAAATTGCTGGCCGCCGAACGGGTAGGCGGTGGCCGGAGCTTGGCTCTGCCGGAGCTAACTATACATACTTCGCTTTCACCAATAATAATATCTATTTCACTTATACTGAGTTGTATTACATTAATAAATGTGGCCTTCACGGTCAATCTCAGCAGCTTTGGGAATGCCCCTGAAAACCCGCCTCATTGACCTCGATCGCTCCTCCAAGACCGGTCGCTTAGACCTTAATGTATCCTGCTTGGTCACCGGAGTCAAGTCTAACAATCCCGTTGTCGACTCTCCATGATCACCTTTAAAGACATCTGGTCCGGTAATATGACGTTTGCAAGATTCTGCGGCGCGGGCGAGATTATCCTTCTTGCGTTGGATTGTATCGGCGTCCTTATCAGAATCGGTGGGAGTTTTGGACAGTTCACGAATAGCACCAGAAAGATAGGTTACAAATTGCCAGCGGGAGGTCTGGAATAGGAACATGGGCATTATATCGGGGATCTGTATCCGTCAAAGCAGGATTAGCCCGGTCTCTCAACATACAGATTAAGATGATCGTCCATCTCACCTTGTCGTTCAGATAATAGAGCTCGTCGCCCCCGTCCTCAATAAATTTCTTCAGTGCATCAATCCTCTCTCGATCAATGGAAGCTAGTTTCAAAGCATGCATCAAACTGGGTATATCCCCAATCTCATCGACATGTGACTCCTCATCCACCGTCATGCTCGCATGATTGAACCCAGATTCCACCCGGGACAGTCCCGCAATACTCTGGTCCCGACTTCTGACCTTGGACGAATGAATGGTAAAATAGTCCTCAGTAAGCATATGCGATTTCTCAAAGTCCGAGCGACCAAGGTTCCACCGTTGATGGACCTTAGTCCGTAGCCTCACCCATCGTCTCCTCCGAACAAATGAATGGAACCACGGCTGCGTACCATGCCACGAAGACGAAGAAAATGAAAAAGAGTACTGCCAGCCTTGCTCGTCGGTATCACCAGACATGTCAACATACCATGTCTTCCATGTCCATTCCCAGCTCGGATCAGGCAGCTGGGCATTCGTGATATTAACAGGACTGGCTCTGCGGTCCTGGGTCATCCAGGGACTGGGATCAAGGTTCAACAGCGAGCTCTGCGAATAATGTGGGACACCAAAGACGAACCAGCCCCGCTGGTTCTCGTAGAGAATGTCCATCTCCGAGCGGGATTTGCTGTCCTCGCGGCCGTTGGTTTGGCCTCCTGCTCCGTTCACATGACCGCTGCTATTGCTATTATGAGTCGAGACTCGCGATGGCGCAAAGTCGGCTGTTTCGATATCTCTGCCCCTGCTACCTTCTCCGGCGGAGCTTGCTGAGATTGACTCTCCGCGCACCTGGGACGATTCTCGACTGGGTGAGTCGTTTGTGCCAGGTGCGATACCGAGTCTATCGGGTTGCCATTTTGCGTATTTCCGCTTTGCGAGCTGGCTATGGACGGATGCACGGCTCAGGTGCTTCGTCAGGCTTCCTTGTTGACTGAGGGTGGATGTGCGTGGTTGGAGTGATTCGCCGATGGGTTGCTGTGGGACGGTATTATCCACGAGGGAAATAGAAGGCGGGTTTTCCATGGTTTGTGTGAGGGTATATAAAGGAATAAAAGGAATGTGTTGGCTAGTGTTACCGCATCCCAATATCCTCTAGGGCTGTAGAATATCACCGAGTATGCACTCGCATTATTTTAGGGGGTATCAGAAAGGAGGGATACAAGATAGAAGAGATAGAAGATGGAAACGTAGAGTTGTAGAGTCTAACAAAAGAAATTACTATCAAATGACCAGTGAAAACAAGAAACAAACGAGAGTTTAAAAAAAAGGCACACAAAAAGCAACTCGATGCAACATCGATGACATCGTTTGCGGGGATGACCTCAGGAACGCCAAGGCCATTTCCTGCAACAAATCGCGGGAACAAAAAAATACATCAACAACCACAACCATGGCAGCACCCCACTACCGAAAAGTCGAGCTCCAATCTCCAGCAGACTTCACTTACCTCTACGCCAACACAATCGCACTATCGCGCCGAAAACTCGACCTCTACTTCCCGCCTTCCGCAACAGACAATGACACCCCCGATCCGATGCGCGAACGCGTCCGGGAGCTAATCGACGAAGTAAGACCAGAACAACCTACATACCCCCACCTACAGACTCTAATCTCAAATAGTACATAAACCAAACCTTCGAATCCGCCTCAACCTCAATCAGCATCAACGGCATAGACTCCACCTCACCACAATTCCCGTTCCCGGCAGCATTTACCGCGCCAACAGAACAAGTCGAGTACGAGGCCTTCGATGCAGATCTTGCGTCGCGCGTGACATCGCTATATGCGCAATTGGAATCACTTAATACGACTGTCGCACAGCAAAGACGGGATGCGCCGAGGCGGGCAGCGAGGGAATATGCCGCGCAGTTGAAGAAGATGATTGAAAAAGAAGAAGAGGAATATGAAAATGAGATTGATGGAGGAAAAGACGCTGATATCGATACCGAGATGGGCGGATCTGCGAATGTGCAGCCCCGATCGAATAATGAAACCGAGAACACAATACCTGGCCAAGAGGCGGATGGTATGGATGTTGATTCTGCCACGAGCGGAACTGGACCAGCGCGCTCAAGGCACACCCATGGAAACTACGATCCCGCATGGACGTTGCAGGTTGCGCTTGGGACCGAGGAGGAGCGGGAGCGGTGGAAGAGTGGAGATTTTGCGGGTGTCTACGAGGATGCTTTGCGGATGCTGCTGCGGTTGCAGGGCGAGGGCAATGCTACGGAGGCTGGCGTGGAGGGTCATGCGTTGGCAACCACAGTAGGCAAGGCTGAGAGGGCTGGGCGTGCTGCTGAAGTGGTGGAGAGTATGAATAAGTGAAGACTTTGGGGGTTGGTTGACTAGCGTTCTCTTCTCTGTTATTTCTTTGGGGGCGTTTTGGGGCCCTGGGCCTGCCCTGGGGATCGTGATACCATGTCTTGTTTATATTTGATGGCTCTGTTGAGTCAAAATCCTATCATCTTTCATTTCTTCGGACCGAATTCTGCTACCTCTATCGCAAAGGCAAGCATTGTTGCTTCTTATTCCGACTCCTTGTCCTACTCGCACATCACAATAAGCAAAACGTCTTTGAAGACCCAACTTGTGTCCTAGACATGACAGCTACTATTTCAATAAGTGATCATTCGTGTATACACCACTACCAACAAAGAAACAACCAAGCTAAACACCATCTTCACACCAACTCGCTTTTATATTTCATCACGTCCTGTCCCTTCTATACTGAGAGCAGTGGCAACACACGCTGCTTATCTTGATAGGCAAAAGCAAAAACAGAGGGAAGCTCTCCATGATATCTAGATCGGAACAAAAAAAAGCAAAAGCGCAAATAGCGAATTTAGAGCAAGCAGTCCACAGGCTGTGGGAGGCGAAGAGGTGTTGAAACTACCGGAGAGAGATCCCGGTATGTCTGGGGAGATTAGGGTTGTGTCGGGAGTTGTCGGAATTCCCAGGTAATATTTTTTGAGGTTTTCAAGTTGATCGGGGTTGAAAAGTTGACCTCCAGCATCCCTATCTGAGATTCTGTTTTCAGTCGCCATATAAAAGGAGATTGTCGGCTTGTTGCAGCAAGCTTAAGCGCTAGTCTGAACACCCTCCTGACCCTCAACATCCTTCTTCTCATATCCAGGGTCCTCATTCTGAACAACAGGCTCAGCAACCTCCTTAGGAGCCTCCTCCTTGGGGGCAGCCCACTTAGGGGGGCGGGCCCATTCAGCCTCCTTCCAGGGGCCCATATCGGAGAGCTCACAGCCACCTTCACACTTGCAAGAGCCGCCGAACTCGACAGGCAAGTTCTCAGCGGGGACCTGGGACAGAAGCTCCTTCTGGTAACTGGTACCGAGGACGTGGATCTTGCTAACGGTAACGGGGTCAAGGAAGCCCTTGACGGCGCCGAAGACGCTGCTGAAGCCCCACGGCGCGTTGATCAGGTAAAGCTTGCCGAGACGCTCGGGGTAGTAGTTCTGGGAGATGTCGGAGGCCTGTCTGACGTATCCGTAGACGGAAGGCACACTGGTGATGCCAACACCCTTCAGGTCCATGATGCTGCAGCAGGTCTCGAGCAGCTTGCCGGCCTTGCGTGAGCAAGCGGGCAGACGGGGGTCGGACAGCTTCTCATACTCGGATACCAGGTTCTGCAGCATGCGGTCGGCGGTGGTGATCTTGTACATCTGGTTCAGGTCGATCTTGCCCAGCTTCTCGATGTAGACGGGGCGGCCATCCTGTTTGGTGGGGGGCTATGTCAGTATTGCACCCGGAGAGACATGTAGAAGCCACGGAAAACCAACCTTGTCCGTCTTGTGGTAGTACTGAGGATAAAACTGGGAGACCTTCTCCTTCTCGGGGTAGTCGAAGTTGCGAGCCAGGTCATCGGTGCCGAAGTCCTTGCGCCACTTCTCGCTGGTAATGAACCTGGGATATCAGATTAGACCATTGGGTCTCGATAAAAGCTGGAAGTTAAGAAGCTCGAAATAGAAAGCTTTCCGCTAACTCCCCCCCCCCCCCCCCCCAAAAAAAACATCCATGCTCGGCGAGAATCAAGGAACGTACATAGTCTTGGCGGCCTGGACATCAAACTTGCGGGCACGCAGGAACCGCAGAAGGGTCAACGTATCCAAACGCTCAGTGTAGCCGAGATTTTCGAGCTCAGCGCGGAGCTGGTGCACCTTTGCATCCTGTTCGGGGGAGGTGTGGCCGGGATGGCCAGGCTGCGCTTCGGGAGCGGTGGTGGGGAAGTCGTACTGGTCGTACTTGGGGTCGATAGACAGCTGGGATTCTGTGGCCGCCATTTTGATTGATGGGAGGTATATGATTGAGGGAGAAGAAGAGAGTGGTAGTTCTGGGAAAAGGGCGGGAGGCGGAGGGGGGGGGGGATTGGCGTAAGTGGCCACTTTAAGGACACAAAAAGATTCCACAGTGTTTTGGGACTATCGAACAATAACAATAACAATGGAATTCCTCAATGGTTTTTTTTTTTTTGGGAGATTTACAGGGGTAAGACTATCGTCATTTTGCAAGTTGACTGGTCTGATGAGTTATTGGGTTGTCCTTTGGGTCCAAAAGATCAATGTGGTATACTTTGTATACCATGTATACATGTACGGAGTAGGATGTACACATGTTAGCACTTCCTGTCTAGGTTTCCGACTCCAACTATGTCTTCTTGCATCAGATATCTTGGCTCAACAGACCTCAAAGGATTTCGCCTGGGAAAAGGGGCAGAGGGGCAAACGTGGCGGTGTCGAGGTGTCAGTGACCAATCCACCCTGCATGTGGGCACATTCCAATGGCATATTTGATACAAGGCAACCCGTATACCAGAGCTCAGCAAAGTGGTAATCTAGACACGCTGTAACAGAAATAAATTCACTTAACATACGGGTATTCAATTCAAAGTTCAACATTCAACATCGCAAGCATTATTATACACAGCGCACGAAGACCGAGGCCTGGGCGGTGATGGAAAAACACAGAAAGACATGCCGGGGGATTATAGGACTCGGAGCCCCAATGAAACCGGGGAATAAATAAATGGCAACAACTATGCGCTGGGTATAGACATTGAAAGGATGAGGAGAGACATAGGAAAAAGGCAAGCATAATAGGAAAGCCGGGGGAAAGGACACAAAAGGATGTACCAAAAATCGCAGGATCATCGACATCCCCCGTACCAGCGGGGAGAGGGCGTTGATCGTTCTCCATTAAAAGTATGTTCGTGTTTCAAAAACATTCACAAAGGGCATTCGCCCGAACTGCATGGACGGGCAGATTGCAGTCGTCGTGTAGAGCAGTCATCCAATCCATTATTTGGGAACGATGGGGAGGGATGGAAAGGCATGGCATATATTGGCGTCCATCACCATCGCAAAATTAAGCGCCTAGGGTCGATCGTCGGGTAGAAAAGAGGACCCGGCCAGGCAGAGCTAACGGGGGAGCTGGTCGACCTCTGCTCGAGCTCATCATTCATCAAAGGGTGGCAGACTAATGGGGAGTCTGGGCGTATAGCGCCCTTACCACCCCTTCTTTCGTGCAAATCGTTTATTGAGGAGTGTAAGCACCTTGGTGACGTTGAACTGGACATACTCCAGATCGAGGTCCTCAAGGTTGTCCTTTTGCATCTCCAGGAGATCATCCAGCTTGAGATCAAGCTCCAGTAATCCACGGGCTCGTCCTAAGTGATGCGTTAGTAATGAGGTTCCTTCTCCCCGAAGATTAAATCCATAAACTCACCCTTATAGTGCAGACTGATAACAAAGGTGCCTGGCAAGGGACTCTTGAACATAAAGTAGATGTTCGCCCGTCGGTTTTCTGGCACATTGCTGCGTCGGATGACACCCTCCTTCTCCAGCTGCTGATGGGTGAACTTGTACGGGCCAAGTTCCTGGTTTTTTGGCGTCTTGCCGCCGCGAGTTTTGCCTTCGGACTGGCTACGCACGTTGTGGAGGTAAGACTTGTATGTCTCCAGCTGGCCGACTAAATAAGCATTATGATCGCGAATAGTCGCGAAAACTTCCTCAAGC